CTTGATATATTTTTTCTCCTATTAGGGATGGACGTAAGGTAACATCATTTCAAGTTTTTTACAATTAAGAACTCAACTTTGATGAGTTTTAGAATTTAGACTCGTTGGTAGCATCTTCCCATAAAAAATAAGATATAGTTAATCTGCTAGTTATAAAGCAAATTAGCTAGTTAATATTAATATTCCGCTCTGTATTATCATAATAGAATCTTAAGATTGAACCACGTCGTTCTGAAATTTCACCAATTTTTTAGACTGAGGCATCTGAAATTCACGGCTATATGCCCATATCATGGAACTTTGTCACACCCTTTCTGCAACTCTCTGGAACATGGGGTGCTACGGAAGTCTGGGTCCATTGGAACGGTTTTAGGTCTTCTCCCCGTCAATAGGAGCCCAATAGGTTATCGACTTGGGGCCCAGCCATTTGTCTCGCCACTACCAGCCCAACATTTCTCACCTTGTTGAAGTTCCAATATCGTCAAGCGGGAGATTCTTGACTTTGGGCGCAGCCCATTTGTCTTCCAAACATCACGAGCGCCGTTTGTGGAGCCGGTGATCCTGAAGAACTTCGCCGACATACGCCCACGGCTAGGCTAGCGATGTTGTGGCCTTTCTAGATTAAATTTGATGCTACGAAATTCAACCCGAAAGATATCTAAGAAATCGGTCTGAAGGTTCGCTCTTTTTTTTCGAAATTAGGGCATCTTCAACGCCTTCTACGTCTTGAACCTCAGAAGCCTCAGAAAATTCTAAAGCTGAAATTGATTCCGCCGGCCAAGTCAAAAATCGAGGCAACGGAGACGGAGTTGCTAGGACGTTAGCCGAGAATCCAGGTCAAGGTGCAAGCAGTTCATCAATGGGAGAAATGCAATTGAATTTGGAAAGCTGTGAGAGAAACCAAGCAAGTGTTGCAAAACTTGAAGTCTGATGAGTATCATCAGGAATTTCAGCATGAGATTTCAGCAGCGTTAAGGAACTCGATTTTCTGTCTGGAGGCTCAAATGTATAACCTTTTTGGTCATCTCCACTCCATGATGCCAAGCTTTGAAGCTGCAGCCTTAGAGAGAGGCTCCAGCAACTGAGAAGGGTACTCAGAACAATGAAGGGATGGTGCCCATTGTAGTCCACAAGAACCTTGCATTGCTGAGAATGCAGGATTCGGTGGATCAATCAGGATTTAACAGAGATCAGCAGGCAACATTGTACAGAAACAATTGAAATTAACTCATTTGAAACTACAAGTGCCAACCCCTTCCAACTAGAATAAAAGTGAAAACCACGAAAAAAAAAAAAATGATAATATTACCAGCAGGTGAAATTAAAATCCTCCGATCTTGACCATGGGCAGATATCCTCTCAAATTAGACTTGATGATTCCCAAGGGTGGATTGATATTATCTTCCTTACAAACTCCACATTCAATAGAAATTTCATTTCGACGATGTCTTCCGCTGTCAATCCGGTGTACTCCTCTAAGAAATAAGTGCACTTTTTCTACATCTCCTTGAAGTTTTTTCCTGGAATGAAAGCAGTAATACATCTTCCCAACTACTAAATAACTCAGCTCTAGTTATGGTAATCATCTGGAGATCTAACCTTGGTCACTACAAACTCTCTGCTTTCTTTATAATTATGCACTTGGAACATCTTACAATTGTATTCCAATAAATTACATGACTTGGAATCCGATGTTGGTCTAAAGCAATTATAATGTGAACTCGGAATGACCTTCAAAATAATATCATTCCTATTCAGATTCATGTAATGGATTCAACTATCCCTTTCAACTCTATGTTTTCCATCTAAAAGATAGAGTATTCCATTAGAAAACCTGATATCCTCCCAGTGCGAAGAATTATAGAAGATCTCATGATGATAGATCCAATCTTATCCACCCAATTTGCAAAAACCAACCGTTCGCTGATCGAGCAATGCTGAAACTATAGATTGGGAACCATCTAGAGAAAATAATTGGAGTTTTATGTTACGAGGATCAATATAAATTCCATCCTTTATTTTTTCTTAAACAAGGAAGCTTAATTTCTAATCCTGAAAATGGATCCAACACTGTAATCTCGAGAAAGCTATGACATTGTGTTTTTACAACAATCCAACGGCCGTCTGAAGATGTCTCAAACCAGCACTGTTTTCCTCGGAAGGATTCAGGAAGCTTTAACTTGAAAACAGCGCCTTCACACAGATTGAAGAGTTAAGCTCAGATATTCGGAAGTCGGTTCACGCGGAAGATGCAGCCAGAAGCGTCGTGATCAGCAGCAAACTTGAGCGCGGATGTCCATGATTTACACACCGCGCTGGAGCGGGTGCGGCTAAGTTGATCGAACCGCTGGAATATCAATGGTAAAAGGTCTTCTGGAAGTCGCTCCCACTGCCGTAGAGAAGACATGACGGAGTGCGGTGCATGTTTCTAGGATTGGACGAGACTAAATACCCAGACTTTGCTACGTTTAGGGTAATTAACAAGTGAATGAAAGAATAATGATTCAGATTTTGTTTTATTTTTTTATTTTAGTATATAAAGTTTTTGAATTTCTAAATGAACCATAGGTTTTTTTTTTTATTTAATAATTTATATTCATGGTGATGATGATGTAATAAATAATAATTTTAATTGAAATAAAACAAAATTTATATTTTTAAATAAAAGAAAAGATTATAAAGTTCATAAAGTAAAAATTTATTATTTGATATAAAAACCAAAAAAATTATGTTTTTAAATAAAAAAAATTGATGTCCCGTAAATAAAATGTTAAGGAAAATGACGATAATTTTCACTGTTATAATGAGAGATTTTGAGACTCATAAGGATCAACTATTAATGAGATATATTAATAATTTATTGGTTTGAATAGAAAGAGTTTGATTTCTGTTAAATAATATTTTGAATTCGAGTCTTATAAAAGAAGAAACAAGCATTAGAAGAATTTTTTTTCAAATAAAATCTGACTAACTCGATTCTAAATTCATCGAAATTTAATATAATTATCGAATACCGAAAGATTAATACCAAAAATTATTGATGAGATACAAATGGACTGGTCTTTTAAGTGGCCTAATAGGCCACGGACTCAATGCTAAGAGTAGGAAGACAAAACGGATATGTGATGGACTGACGACGCCAAATGATATTATTCTTGAAATAAGCGTCAATTTACCCAAGGGCCAAGTCAACAACTGGATCATAGGGTGACTTCCTAGTTAAAATGTGGAGAGGGTAATCATCAAACTAAAGTGGAGTAGACTAGGGGTTGATTTACATAATTTATCTTTTGTTTAAAAAAAATTATGTTTGTATTTAATAATTATGCTTAGGTTTCGATTACTGTACTTTTTATAGATTTTTTTTATATAACATAGTTATATCATGCATTTTATTTAAGGAATTTTTTTTTAATTTGTATCTTAAAAATATAATAAATATATTTTTTATTATAAATTTATATTAAAAATAAAAATTAATATTTAGTTTATTTATCATTTATTAATAATGTTAAAATTAATATCATTTTTTATATTTTTCTATATTTACAATGAAAAGGCACCCAAGGCGCAGAAAAAAAACCCAATGATAAAATTTTAAGATAGAAGCCCTGAAATTTCACCAATTTTTAACATTTTAAGGCATCTGAAATTCACTATATCTTGGAACTATGTCACTCTCCTTCAGCAACTCTTTTGAACTTTAATGCCGGCATGCAGCAGAAGCAAGTTTTTGGTTGGTTGTTATTACTATTATTTTTTAGTAAACTCTTAGCATTCAAAAATTATATTAATTTTTAATTAATTTGGTATCAAATTGAGTCAAATCTTTTAAGAGAAAACTCTTCTACAATTTATTTTTCTATTCACAATACTTAAATTTCAAATTTTATTTAAAAAAATCAAATTTCTTTACTTAAACAAAAAAGAAAAAAGAATAAGATTATTAAGTCTTATATCTTAGATTTGTAGGCAGCAGTGCCGCTACTCTTCAAGGGAATAGTGGCTCTTGGGCCAACGGTGCTGGGCCTGATGCTAGTTTCGGTCCTTTAGTTTAACCTTAGGCCTTCTTCTC